AGAACGTGAAATGATTTTCAATCGATACGCTTTAGGATTAGATCCAAAGAATGAGGTCGATCCATGGGAGAACCCTACGTTTGAACTTTACCATGTAACCGACAAGTAAGTTGAAAATTATATATTCTTTTTTTTTATCGAAACGTAAAATCTTCTTAAACCAATGTTCTTCTTATCAAATTATTTATAAAAATAATATATATAAACGCACAATATTTTAATAAAGCATTAAAAAAATGATATGAATTTCATTTCAAGAGTAAAATAATTATAAAAAATTAAAAAAAAAAAATATTTTTATATTCTTCAGATATTAGAAAACTGGGAATGTGCATAAAAAAATATTTATTTGCATTCTCTAATAAACATAACTGTTTGTTTACAACCTCGCTTTCTTATCGCGTCCGCTGCACTTCTTTTGTTTGTTTATTTATAGTACAAGCACGTTTATCAAATTTCTTTTCTGCGTACGCGCTTTCTTTAATTACAGAACGCTTCCCTGAAAATAATACAAGCAGTGGAGAGCAGTTTTTGCTTTGTGAAGGCACCAGCTTTGTATCGTTTTTGTACCAATCTACTATTTTTATTTAGTAAAAGTTTAAGGTTAATATAATTGTATTTATTTCGGTGGAACGTATTTTTTCCAATGTCTAATAAAATGCTAACACTGAATTTTGAAATGCTAATTTACAGAAATCTTTTAATATTAAATTAATTTAGATAAGATCTAATTCAGTTTAATTTTGATAAGGCTGTTATATTATAAGCATCAGATGGGAGCTACTTTCAGTGACTATTATCAAAGTTGTTGATAATAGGCGAATTAAACACATTTTACGTGTTATATTTTGACGATACGCAGCTATATACTTCCTCAAACGCAGGTTTTTGCTTCCTTAAATGTCGTTCCTATATTCTTAATGTGTATATTGCTTGTTTTATCTAAATGATAGTGATTTTTTAAACAAGCTATGGATTAGCCCATCAGAACGCGTATATCTACTATAGATTATTTCTGCTTTTAATTGTCTGCTATAGGTTCTTCCATCCTTAAATGTCTGTGCATTAAAGACACTGTACGTCCTATTCTAATGGCACAGTGATTTCTCAAGCGGAAGAAGGAAGTAAACCGCCAGAACGCGTTTATCTGCTATAGGTTATTACTTCCTTAAATATCTGTACCATATTCTTAAGGTGTATATTGAAGACATTGAGCGATTTGGAGTTCTCACAGTTGAAGTGGTTGGACACATCCCATTAATTGTGTTACTAAGATTAAAGATTGGATATATAAGATCAACAATTAAGTGTAGAATATATAAAGTAAAATACAATAATTCATACAACTCTTGTAACTTATACGAGAAAAACAGTAACATTGAAGACATTGCATATGTTATTTTAACGGCAAAATAATTTCTCGAATAGAAGTGGTGTGTCCAAAATTTAAGTTTCCACTTAATAGTTGATTGTTCAAAAACTATTTAGTTTTAACTATCTCACTATTTGTGTATTTTTACTTCTATCTTTTTAACTTTGAAACTGTATATATAAGTAGTGTTAAACATAAATGTTTTCTCAGTTTTATTCTATGTTTTTAGTGCAGTTAGCTAGCAATTTTCTCTTCTTGTTAATTATTTGCTTTATATTATTTGTTTTATATTTGTTTCGGTATTATCTGATTCTTTGACCTTCGGTTATTTTAATAGATACATTTCATTTAAACTGAACATTAACTACATGCATAAGCGGAAAGAAAATATTTCCTTCATAATTGTTTTAAATTCAATGTAATTATGTTATTTATATGCTGTTTTTAATGAATGATAGTAAGGATTTTTGTCTCTATATCCAATAGCAACTAATAAAATTTATTATTTCAATTATTATTATTATATTGAAATCTATATTTTTTCGATTAGACTTACCATACGCTTAGATCCTTCAATTGATGACTAATTCATTGTTGAAGCCATTTGCAAACACATTACTATATTTTGAAGAATACATCAGAATATAAAATTTCCAAATTTTTGTATTATACGAAATTTTTTAAATTAAATTAAATTTTTTGCAAAAAAAGGTCCAAACAATTGTTATGAATTTTTTTTTTTTGAATTTGTTTCAAATATTTTTAGTATAAAAAAAAATTATGACACACAGCTATGCTATGATTTATGTACATAATTTTTTATTTATAAAGATTTAATAAATTTGTTTTGATAATAAAAATTGTGAAATTTTTTGGGAATATATAGTATTCTTTCCTATGTGAACGGTAAGGCTGACCACCCAAGAATCAATCTTTGGAAATGAGGCTAACCTTGTCCTTTTATCTGACTATCTAAGTATATATTTAATTGTTTTCATCTTCCAATTATAAATAGTTTTTATTCCGATAAATGCATCAATCAATTCGTCATTTCTATCTTAAAAGTCACAATTTTTGTATGATATATTTTATTTAATAATTCAAAATAAATTAATTTTTCAATGATTTCCAATTTTTTAATAAAAATATATGAATTTTGATTACATTAAATCAGTGTATAAGTATTTTCATTTATAAAAAATTTATTTTTGTTGTACACATAGAAATCAGAATACAATGTAGCAAATATTGCTCACTCTATGCTTATCACATAATAATAAGACGAAAAAATTATGGCGACGATATATCACATACAATACATAAAATATAATATATATTTAATATATATATATTTTTTGTTTGTCTTGCTACCAACCATAATTTAATAAAAAAACTGTGCGGCTATTTCGACAATAAAGGCACACTAAAATGTATTTTCTCCCATATATGCATATGAAATTTTTACTTTCATTTCTACATTACCATTATTGGATGCAAGTATGTAACTTACGTAATTAAAAATATTTTCATAACCTTTTCGATATTGAGATATTTACATCGTGAAAACGTTTTAGGTTGAATATTTGAATTAATTCTATGATTGTAGTTATTTTTTTGGATGTCACCAAATCAGAAAACCTGTAAAGCAAAAACAGAGTGGGAAAGGTAATGAAAGATAGAGAGAGAGAGAGAGTGTTGAACTATTCTAGGCCAAGGTTTAGAATCCTTTAGTATCAGTAAAAAGGAATGAACATGTTACCATTGGAACAGGTGAGCAAATTAGTAATATTATGAGGAGTAAGACTATTTTTGAGATACACATTGGGAATAACAGACGTGTTAATTCTGGATTCATAACTAGTAAACAAGCAGTTTTATATTAAAATGAGTTCTTGTTGCACATAAAAGCTTATTTTTATTGCTAGATATATCTGACGTCGAGTTGTTGATAGAGTCTGTCTCCATTAAAAAGTTCTTCTGTTAAGTCCTACTTTAGTTTAATACCATTTTTTATATTTAAATGTATTGTAGATGTTATTTTAAACCCTTATTTTTCTAGTACCATCAAAGATATATCGTCAGCATCAAATCTCAATAATCAGTATTTAAAAAATACTGTATACGCCTGTTCTACGTTAGCTAGGGTTCTCTATTATATTTGTAATTATCACAGCAGCAAAAG